AGCGCCCCGAACGGCGCCAACGCCACCGCGCCGTCGAACGACGAGCCCTCGCGCATCAACGAGCTGAAGCGCAAGACACCGCCGATGGCGTCGCTGGAGCCAGACACGTCCGTCGACCGCAAGCCCATCGTTCTCCCGCCGGGGGCCCAGGTGCCCGTGGGCGAATACGAGGCAGGCCGCGTCATCTGCGAGGTCTGCGGCGGAGGCGTGTCGTTCCGCGACGATGCAGGCGGTGGCACGTTCACACTCAAGCATTGGGAGGCGCATCGGTTGACTTGGTGGGTTTCTTCTCCTCGTTTCTGTTCTCGTCTGCTTTCGCTTTAGTCTTGACTGAGACCGACGTGTACAGCGCACAGCAACACCCCGGCCAACACCCGCCTCTCCCGCACCCCAACATCATCTCTGTGCCACTCACCTACACGCCTCCCAATTCCAGCGCCGATCTCAACACACACCACGGCGGTGGGATGTACACCCCGAACGGCCCTCCACTTAAGCGCCGGCGCGCAAAGCGCACCGAGGAAGAGCGCATCGAATATTTGCGCGCGGACGTGCACGTGGCGCAGTTCGAGGCTTACCGCGTCCTGTGCGCGAGCTGCGACAAGTGGATCCGCCTCCGGCCGAATTCCACGTACTGTAGCATCCCGTGGGACGCGCACCGAAAGAGCTGTCTGGCCAAGAAGAGGTGCGCGTTCTTTTTTTTCTTTCGCATCCGATTGTTTTTCCTTCTGGTATCGGGGTGCGCGCCACATTTAATTGCGATTTTACGCTGGGAATTAAATGTCGTGTCGGGCGCGCGAGCTTGTCCTGACAGACAGTGACGTTGCTTCTGCCTCCCCTCTTCTTTGAAATTCTCTCGCTCGCGGCGGTGTTTCTCTCTTCCCGTCTCCGCTTGCCGCGGCGCTCTCGCATTTCACATTCGCCCTCTTTCAATCCTCATTTTTCTTATTATTTTCAAAAGGAGGTTGACGCTGACGATGCATTGGAACAGCAATGCCAAGAATGTGTACGCACTCGAGGAGAGGAACAATGCATTCGCCAAGGACCCGGACGTGCGCAAGTTTGACCCGGAGAGGGTTCTGTGCGGGATGTGCGATAAGTAGGTTTTTTTGGTCTCTTTCTGTGCTGTTATCATTCTTCCATTGCGCCTTTTCTTTTTCATCGTCCCCGTTGTTCTGGCGATTTATTTCCCCATGGAACTTCTTCAGTCATTCCTCGACTTTTTTCCCTGCTCTTGTCCGAACGGTTGGCTGACTTCGTACCTTCAGATGGCTTAGCATCCCCATTGACGACCACCCTGCCGCGGTGCAAGTTTGGTTCCACCACCGCAGTACCTGCCAGAAGACCGTCTCCGCACTCAAGAACGTCATGTACGTCCTCCTTAGTCTCATAACATAATTTATTGCATTTGCACGTCCGTCCGTCCCTTCACATTCCCTTCCCCTTCATCCGTGTTCTCTTCGCCCAGTTTCATAATTTATTGTGTATTGTGTCGGCCCTTCTTCGTTCCCCATTGTCTCTTCTCTTCCCTGTTCCATGGCCGTCTTTGACCTTTTTTGGCGGACTGTCGTTTTGGATGAGGCTTATCGTGGCTTTCTCCCTCGCTCCCTTCGATGTCCCCTTTGCTCTCTGACTCCGCTCTTCGCTCCGACCCCACCGCACATTCGTTCATCGTCACCTATCTTTACATCTATAGCATTATCTTTGCCCCTCCTGACTTATACATATCCTGTATTCATTCTGCATTCTGTTCTATTCTCGACTCGCGCTCGTCGTACTGACACTTTCGCTCAGCGCAAACGCAAGTGCAGCAGCTATGGCTGAAACGGAGGAACGCAAGCCCATCATCTCCCCACCTCCAAGCGCCGGTCCTTCCTCGCACCGTACTCTTCGTCCCGCGTCGTCTCCCGCGCACAGCCAGAGTCATCCCCAGGCGCGCGGTCCCCCTTCTCAAGGCCAAGGCCATCCCGAGCACCCCCATTCGCAGCCGCACCCAAGCCAGCGCCACCCCCATCCGCCCTCCTCCCATGGCCCCCCACACCCGCACTCCCTCTCGCACCCGCCCCCGCCGACACACCTCCCGCACCCCGACGCGCCGCACCTCCTCCTCGACCTTTCGCCCACCAACTACGCCGCGCCGCACGAGTCGCGCCGGCGCAACGCCGAGCAGCGCGCCGCGACACTGCGCGCAGACGTGCTCATCCGCGAGGTCGAGCCGAACCGCGTATTCTGCAGCCTGTGCACCAAGTGGGTGCAGCTAAGGCAAGATAGCAGCTACTGTGCGTATCCCTGGCTGCAGCATCGCGGGAAGTGTCTGGCGCGGTAGTGAGTCTCCTCCCGTTCTCTCACAACGAGTTGAGGGTGTCATATATGCGCATTTAGATTTTTATTCCGTTCTGTTTTGTTTTATCGGGATACTGACGAGGATTTATTTCTTTGCAGTCAACGCCGGGCGCAGAAGGCGAACGAGATCGCGTCGATGAAAGGCGGTAAGCGCCCCGCCGCGTTGGCGTCCGCGGAACACACGCCTGTTCGCCCATCGGAGGACGGCGACGAGCCTGAGTCGGAGGAGGGCGTTTCGGCTGAGCCGCGCCGCCATGCGGCGCAGTCGTCGCTCCGCCGCCACGCGCACCCGCCGGCCTCCCACCCGCCTCGCGCGATTCCCGCCGGATACGCCGCCGCGTCGGCCCCGCGCCCGATGAGCCATAATCAGTGGCAGCAGCAGCAGCAGCAACAACAGCAGCACCAGCAGTCGCACGGGCAACCACAGGGCGACGACGTGGACGCGGACGGTGAGGCGGACGACGTGGATGCAGACGGGGACTCGTATATGGAGGAGGAGGGCGCGACCCCGACACGTGGCTACGGCGTGAACGGCGCCAACGGTGTTGGTGTGTATAGCAGTGGGACCGCGAACGCGATTTTGCGCCGCGCGGTACCTGCGAGTCTTGCGGATTTGGATTCCCCCGGAGGACGGTAAGCATATTTTGATTCTTTCTGGATGGTACAAGCAATGCTGATTGACGCCTTGATTTCTTCGTTCTCCTTTCCCTCCATTCTCCCTCGATGTCGTTATAATTCACGCGAACGCGTTGTCATTCCTTTCCCTTCACGCAACCTCACGTCAACAGCCGCAATTTCGTCTTCGCCTCCGTCGAGTACCTCTTCCGCACCACGTATGAGGCAAGCGACGATATGTCCGTATCGGTGCTGCTCACATACCTCAACGCCGCGATGCCAACGGATAAGCACGAGGACTTCGACACAGGCGAGGTCGTGCGCGCCGCCAGCGCGCTCGCGGCGCGGGAGAAGGAGCGCTACGTGCTCGAGGGGGATATGCTCCGCCTTCTCAGCCACGAATCCGGCTAGCTAGGCGTCGGCGAAGCGTCACGAATTCACTTTCCGAAAGCAAAGCTTACTTATGCTGGGCGCTCCTTCCTCCCTCGCGCCTGCTTACCACCGACTTGCCCCCGTGTCCGTGCCTGGCTGCTGATTATTTTTTTCCATCCAGAACTCACCTCACGATTTCACCTTACCCCACTGCCTCATCATCTCATTTACTCGACTCGAATCTCGTTATTCACGTAACTTTTTTGCGGACTCTGGACTAATAATTACAGAGATGTGACGCGTTGCTGCCACACATACAACCTCGCTCCCTTTACATCGACATTAATCTACCAATATCTTGCGCTTCGCGTTCCTGCACTAAATAGGATTGACTGCCCACACTTGCTTGCTTATGAATCTTAAATTGCCGGTTCCTCTTATTCACTGCCTTGCTCTGCTGAAGTACAATGTACTATACTCTGCCACTGCTGTCTGTATACACTCGGACTTCCCTCTCGCATTGCCTTAACGAATCAAATGGATGCATTCCACGCTCGATTCTTTTACTTTCACGCACCGGCTTGACTTCTGGTCATCTTTGGTCTCATCTCAAGTTCTTTTCTTGCTTTTCGGATCATTAGCATACGAGCGCCAGGGCGTATTTCAGGACGGCAATCGATGAGCCATAACGAACATGCATATGATCCTCCATCCACACGAGGTAGGCGGTGCGCCAATGTCCCGTTGAACACGGGTCTTGACCTTCCACAAGCTGCACTTCTCTTGCAGCTGGTTTTGATTACATTAATTCCACGGGGACAACCCCGACACGCGATGGAACTTAGGTGTGTAATTGTAATTGTAAATCTCATTCCATTCTGGATCTGCATTGCATTGCGTTTCTTCCATGGCCACCCGCGGTGGTAATTCCTGCAGGCACATAGTGCGGCGCGGACTGGAAACTCGGATGACGACGCACGCAAACCTTGTACGAATGGCCGACGCCCGTGGCTTTCTTGCGCCGGATCAGAAAGCATGCAAGGCCAGCGAATCTCAGAAAGCTTCCACCGGAGGTTCTAGAGATCAAGTCAGTTGCTCGCTTATGTCGGATGGACTACTTAGCACTGTGAGTGCGGCGTGCGTGGATAGATACACCATGGACAATTCAATTGGAGCCATAGCCACTCTATTTCAACGCAGAGCGGTGGGTTAGCGCTAGAATTAGGCGCTCCGTGTCGGGAGCGCGCCGGGAAAGCTAGGTTGTGGCGTCAGCCTGAGTGGCCACCGCAACAGTTGCTACCTAAAGTCGCGGAAAACGGAGCGGTCCATCATATATATGACGGAATGTTGCGTGTGTTTCCAAAACCTCGCGGCGGCTTGCGGGGTCCAAACCGCGCACGCGCTCGGGTCCAGTCATGTGATCGCGTTCTGAGTTTTCAACTTGCGTAAATCACCCTCCGAGTCAGTTCGATGCAGCGAAGCAGCTGCAGACGATATCCATATCTCAAGTGTTAGGGGCGAAGATAGGGGCTCAAGCATGTATCTCGGCACGTTATCTGCGAGAGAGGAGGAGGAAAAAATATTAATCTATAGGGCAAGGAAGGTCTTATGTCGATGAATCAGAGTGACACCGTGAGCAAGCGAAACTGGTGTCTGGACAAAAACAAAGTTGACCCCTGCCCGGATTGAACGGACGACCTTCGCGACTGGAATGCGACGCTCTACCACTGAACTAAGGGGTCATGGAGGAGCTCTACTGTCGTAAGGTAGAGAGGCGGAGCTGATGCAGATATTCCGCTCTTGGTCTCCCAAACTACTTACCACGAGGAATATTTGGACATCATTTGGCACGGGATCCCGCGTTTCGAATCTGCCAAAAATCCTACCTCCTCTCCCTCTCCCTTTCCGGTGCTCGAGACAGGATCGACAATCTTGGTGATGCATAGATGGACCACTCGCCTCTGTCATTTGCTGTAAATCAAGCGACGCTCGCGACTCGAAATCGCACACTGCCTCCCGAATTATGGTGCAGCGTCTCAATCGGAAATATGAATAGATTGGGGCGGACGCGCCGTATACTTTCGCGCCTACCCAATTCGACGGGCACGGCCGTCGACTTTTCAAAATTTAGATCTCTGACGGGATAGCCGTCATGGGTGCACCGCTCGCTAGCATAAGAACGTCACCGAGATTCCGCTCGTCTAGTCGCATGTGAGCGTCAAGAAAAGAAAGCTAGAAGCAAAATGTAAGACAACGAGAGGTAATCTAGCAGCACGTTGAATAGGGACATGGGCAGGAGGAAACCAGAACCAAGAAGATGGCTGAGATGGCTGCCGTGCAGTGTGCAGTAAAGGCAGGATCAACGAGCGTGGCTTTGAACATGTAATTTTCTTGGAGCGATTGAGTATAAATTCAAGCGGTGAAATATGTGAGAAGAATGTCAGAATTGGCAGGCGTATATGAGACCACGCTACTCTGGAGCACAAAGAGGGCTACTATGGAATCGGCGAATTGTCCCACAAAGCACGGAGGGCGGTCGTAATTCGTAGCGAGAGTGAGATAGTAGATTTCCTGCTTCAGGCTTCAATACCTTCCCTCCCTCTTCCTTCCCAGTGCTCGAGACGGGATCAATGATCTTGGTAATGCGCAGGTGAACCAATCGTCGCCCGTCATGTGCGGCGCTGATCGAGGGCACAAAACAGGCCAATCCAGAGCCTGAGAAATAAATAACCAGTGAGCTATTTTGGAGATTGGTAGAGATGAGTGTACCGGCCCATGGAAAACAGCTGCGGCTTCCTTCTCGGCTGTTATCAAACATACCATTGAGTTGGAGCATGTGTGTTGTTTTCCCAACAACGGTGAGTTGGAGCCAGCCTGAAAATTTGACAGGAAATTCTTGATTGAGTCGAAATAATGTATATTCGGGACGAATTCTCCGGCGGCTACCGAAGAGGTCGCGGCACTGTGAGAGCTCTTCTGGTGTGGCCAGATTTTCCTCTAATAGCTGATCACGGATCGTCGTGGAATTTGTGCGGTATGCCACTTGGGGTAGTGTAATCCGCCAGGGGAGTCCGGATGGCAAGAGCAGGTCATACCCATCATGGAGAGACAATGGCGCACGTTGTGAAGTAACACGAAAACGGATGCTACCTTCCAAAGGTGCAGCATCACGATCTCGGTGGTAGTGTAAAAATCCAGTGGATTGAGGCGGGAACGGAGTGACTTCCTCCGGATTCGGAGTTTCATACGAAAACGTGCCTTCTGTATCCTTGGCGGACTTGGGAAAGGACACAGAAACGGATTTCCGTCCCGAAAGATCAAGGCGGTCACTGGGGAGAAGCAATGCCGAATTCAATGTAGAAATTGTCCGGCGGGGACGACCACTGTGAGGGAGTCACGGGATTTTGAAAGCACTCCGAGTCGTTGACGCACCACTTGTTATCTCCGTCCTTGGGTGATACAGAGTAGCATCGACGGGAGATCCCGCGATATGGGATTATTGAACAAGAAACGATTCGCTGTGCAGATCTGACAAGAAGCATAGCAAGTTTTGTACATACGTGAAATGTTGTGTTGCATTTGGCAATAGTCTCTCCTAGACAGACGCTACAAACATTTTTATCTCGTACCTCGATTGTTTGTAGTCTGTTAATTGCCTCGATCAAGTGATTGCTCGCCCTAGTTATTACCAATCATCACGCCTCGTGATATTTGTGACACATGGTGACACAGGGCTTCGACGCGTCTTCTCGCTTCTCTGCAACATCTACTACTTTATTTGAGTCTCTCAGACGTGTTAAACCACCTATATAAGCTACTGGAGAAGTCACAGAGCTGCTAGAATGGTTCAGAATTCGCCATAGCGGTATATCACGGATTTTACAACATTTTCCGTCCTAAATCTAATTGCTCCCTCCCGCCGTATACCATATATGAAGGCTTCAATTCCCGATAGTATTTATATGACATGCACATCAACAAGAGAGAATGCACGTAGTTTCAATTCCCAATACTTGTACATACATACAATCTACACATCACGGAGTTGATATAATGTAGTGCAGTAGATCTCCCCGTCCCGGACAGTTGCCCGCGCTGCGCCTGCGCCGACGGCCGCCCGAACAGTCTCCGTCCCCTCCCGCCCCCATCCAGCGCGAACGCGTTGTCGCCGTCACCACCCGTATAAGCGTACGACTACCCGTACCCCCCGCGCGTAAACGGATGCGCGTCCACCACAACCTCGCCCCCGCCCCCGCCGAGCGTGAATAGCGCCCCGCCCGCATACGTCGAACGAGTCCTACAACGCGAACAAGTTGTCCTCATCGAAGGACGGGCCCGAGCCCGACGCGGACGCGGCCTGCATGAACGCGGTGGACGGGTGTGCAGTGGTGTTCACCGCCTCGTCGACGCGCGGGCGCCACCAAGGGGTGCGAAGTGCGGGTGTTGGTGCGGGTGTGGGTGCGGCGCCGGGCGTGGGGGTGTGCAGCAGGGCGCCGGCGCTGCGGTCGCTTTCGGGCATAGCCGCAGGCCGTGAGGTTGTGGCGGGACGGCGAAGGCGGCAAAGAGACGGTGCTCGTGCTCGAAGCGATGGCGCCGGCGTACCCGCGCGCCTTGGCAGCATTCTGCCGCCAGACCTCGCGTACGAGGTCGTCCTCGACGCATTGGACATCGACCCGCAAGCGCCACGGGGACAGGATCCATGAAAAGACGGTGAAACGAACCAAGCAAGCTGGAAATGGGAGGAGAAGGAGAAGAAAACACACTAGTGGAACCCACTCCTATCTTTGATACATTGTAAATGGCGCGAAAAGAACAGAACCTCGAATCTTGTTCAAGATGGTGATCCATTCTGGTACTTAGTTTCCTTGAAGAAGGAAGGATTTTGCGAAGGCAAAGTCGTACGGATGTGGCAACGAAGAATGGGTGTGAACGCCGAACTTGAAGCTGCGAGCACCGACTCGGAGCAAGTGACGAGAATCCGGCCATTGCAGGTGCAGATCTTGACTATTTCAGTGCTACACGCACTCCAGAAGGTTGATTCGGTGATATGGCAGTGTGATTGTAGGTTTTCGAGGGCCAGGGAGGGCAAGAAAAACAGGTGCGCTATGGTAGTGTGAAGGTAAAGGGCGTGGGAAGACATTCAAACTCCGAAGATTTGTAATAAGGCGGGCGAGCGATCACCGGTGGCGCGGTAAACTACAGACTAATTTGGCAGCGGTCTGACATATTCATCACGTCGGCCCAAGTCGGCCCTGCAAACCAAAATAGCTTTCTCTTTAACAACTAGCTTTTGCCCTTGGTTTCGAGTCTTTTTGTGAAGTTCATCGTGAACCAGTCGCTTTTCTGCTTTATTTGTGGCAGTGCTGAGTGGATTTCCACTAAAAATCAAGTGAGGCACCGCTTTATATTAATTTTACAGCGTCTGTCAAGAGAGACTAGATCAATACACGCAGCCGTGAAACAAAAAAGGGGAACCGTGAGCGACCCTATCGAATTTAGAATCTCAAGGGAAACTTGTGTTGTGAAAGTAAAGATCTATCGACTATCATAAATCTCGTGGAGTCTGACTACAAGTGAGACTATTGTGAAAGGTGAGAATGACTCCTTCAAGGGTATGATAATGGATGAGAAAACCTATTCGGTAGGCGCGAAGAGCTGGGCAATAGACGAGATGAAGCAGGGTCCGCAGAGTCGTTACCGTGTACAGAGGAGTGTCGGACGGAAGGAAGCGAAGAATGTGCCGCGATGTCCGGCAGTGTATTTAAAAGATGAGTGGACGGAGGCCGTGAGATGGGCGTTTTCGTCAAGAAGGAGGAAGGTGTCTGGGTCGAAGATGAGTGGTGGGACGGAAGGAGCGACGAGTGAGATACAGCATCCTGTGGCGAACAACTCGCTGTGCGATTTCCCGAGTTTGCGACGGTATTGTCAACAGGAAAGGAAGGAGACAAGGAGTTCTCGTTCGCTGGAGGGATTTCAAAATCGAATGGGGCAGAAGGGGAGGAGAGTTCGACATTTGTTGAAGGCGAAGGCGGCTCCAACCCGGGGAGGAAGGTATAGGTGTCCAATGACCTTGCCGACCGAAACACTACCAGAAACATTGCTAATGAAACCGGAGCATTCCGCCCACCATACAAGTCTGGAAATTGAATTTTTTGGTCCACGGCCCTCCGTAGATCGTCAGACCAAAGACGCCGACTCATCCACGCCGATATTCTGTCCCGTTCGACGAACGTATTGTAAGTTCCGCTCGCCGAAACGGAGAATAGCACGTCGGCCGCATCGTAACACTCCGATGCTTTACTGGCGACAGGTAGCGGCTTGCTGGCCGTTGGCTCTGAGGACAACTCGGATTGGGGCAGCTCGTCCCTCGTTACAGCCTGAACACAAATCGATAGCCACATCCACAACGGCACCGCAAGCTCCTCGAACACCGTGTAATGTTCGAGAACAAAACCCAAGGCGTCGTATGGTGGAAGAACGACTAAGCAGTCGTCTCTCAGGTGAAATTTGGGGGTGCGGCGGCAAGCTGCAATGGCCAAAACCATGGGGAGGTCTTTGACCCAGATTGGTGTTGTGGGTAGATAGCGCAGCATAGTGAGTGTGGGCTCCCAATACGACTGGGATACGGTGGACCGGATTAGTCGTCCAACCAGTATCTCGTCGCTATATGGTTCATTGTCTGGGAAGGATATGTTGTTCCATTGCTGTAAGAAGACAGGAACAAGTGGTTTGATATAACGAT